CTGTATATACACATACATACATGCATATATATAAGTGTGTGTATATATATAAAATTTCCAAACCTTGGGAATTTCTGTGACCTTATTATAGAATTTCACAGTGGCATAAAATGGACACAGATTAACTATTTTAATTAGTGAATTAATTATAATTTCAAGACTGAATTACCTTAAGCAGTAGCTAATTTTAAGTGAAATTTGCAAAAAATGTTATAGTTGATAAAAATAAAACATTTATGAAAAGCATAGTCAGTTCTTATATTATTTCTAATAATACTGTACATAAAATGAATTTTTTACTTCAATGTAACAGGGAAAAATCTATTCATATTCTATGTAAGACTTCTTATCACATAGTTGAAAGATACAACAAGTACTAAATAAAATTAAATAGAAAGGTATGACTTAAACTATTAAAAAACTCTTAATTTTTATGGCTTTATCTTTAATGACATTTTAAAATCTCTATTTATTTAACAAAACCCCTTATATTAAATAAGTCACTGATCTTTTGTAATATCTGAAAAAAATCTTTTAACTTTGGTGGACTTATTTAACCTATATTAGTCCTTATGTGGGAGAAATAATGGGTTACTTAATTAAAAATTATTATAGTATTTATAGAAATATTTCTATAACCATATATTCTTCTTCAGAGATAGTATTTTGCCTCTATTAGAATTATAAAATAACTGGAAAGTTAAATTTATGATAATGTTAGAAATATATAATCTAATATAGATTAAATTACTATTAGAAGCAATAGCACCAGAGCACATGACTTTCACCCAAATTTTGTCTGGTAATTGTATCTAGTATTCATTGATGTTTTAAGTTCAGTGTGATTCAACAAGTACTCATGTGGTAGGCCTCAAGCCTTCTTGGATCTATAGCCCTGGTTTGCCTGCTCCTGCCAGGCATTGGTGCTCTAGGTCACTTCAGGGTGATGCTGAGGGTATTGTCATCTCCAAATTCTACATATGGTAAACTTTAACAAATCCATACAATTTGCACAATTTGATACATTAAATAAATATTTACTGCTCTCTTCCATCATATATATATGTGTATATATATGTGTGTGTGTGTGTGTGTGTGTGTGTGTGTCATGGGGCTGACATAATATATGTCAAGTCCACTTGTGATTTACCTTTGTTTCTCCAAACAATTCATTAAATAGTAATTTTTTTAATCGCATCTATCAAACTCCTAAAGGAATTCGCTGCTTGAAGGAATACTTGGAGTGAATTGCTTTTCTTATTTTGTGTCACAAGCTTATTGGGGAGGAGGGATAAAAGAAAACTTAAATCTGTGAAATATTTTCACATTCTAAGTAAAAATACATTATATGTGGTTAAGCTGAGAGTTGAGGACAGTTGTGTCATAGCCTTTCCTTGTTGTCGTTAGACAATGCAGCATCACATCCTGTCAGGATGGGGAAAGTTCTAGTGACAATAAATGCTAGCAACTACTGTAGTTTATTGAGCACTTATTATGTCCTAGTTAGTTTTTTATGTTATTTCACAGTTATTTCCTTACTACTTTCTTACTGATGTGGAAACTGCATTTCAGAGAGGGTAAATGATGTCGGCAGAAGTCTAAGGAGACCATTTGCAATTGAAATTATTGCACAAACTAAGGGTCAGTGTTAATTTGTTCATTCATGCCTATATCACTAAACTCCTTTTAGATCTTAGAAGTTCAAGATAGAAAATAAAGCAATTTTAAAGTAACATTCATTTATAACTTCTTACTGAGATCATTAGCATCTTTTTTCTTTCCTCTTTTCCACAAAATCATAAAATGGAAGTTTTTTTAAAATTTTAAACAAGCTTTTTAAAAAATATACCTTTCTGTGGGTTTCCCCAATAGAAAATTGTAATGTTTCCTCTTAACTTCATTAAATTATCTTTTACAGACTAAAAGCCTTGCAATCCTTAGGTTTTATATTTATATTTCTTAAAAATTTCCACCAATAAAAACTAAAAGCCCATAGGATATCATTTTCTCTCTTATAAAATGAAGCTACTACTTCCTACCTGATAGGCTTTTTATGACAAGAAAATGAAACTATGGGAACATTTATATGTATTATTACCTTTCCTGACTAGTAGAGGCAGAAAAGTGACCTCCCCAAAATGTCCATGCCCTAATCCCTAGAGCTTGTAAATAGGTCAGTTAAAAGAAGAAGGGGGGGTAAGACTATACTTTCAGGGGTCATTTCTAGAGTTCGTTACTAGAGAAGTCTCTCTGAGCACCGGAAACCACTAGGAGGAGGCACAGCGTTCTCTCCTGAGCGTGAAGCCGGCTCTTGGGGTTGCTTTAGTGCAATTGCCATTTGCCATTGATTTGATGATCATTCTTCTCTTCCTTTGGGGGAGTTAAGAGGGAGAGAATGCAGTAAAAAAAGAAAAAGACAAAGGGGGATTAGAATTGCAGGTGCAATGAAGTTTGTCAATCAGCTAACTTTAAAACACTGAAATTATCCTAGTATCCTGGTAAACCCGAGGTAATCACAGGAGCCCCTTTATGAGAGGGAGACCAAAGGGCCAGAGTCAAGGGAGGTATGACTAAGGAACAGGTCAGCTGAAACTGAGTGTCAAGGATTCAGTTAGCCATCCCTGACTTTGGAGAGGGAGAAGGCGGGGCCATGGGCTTAGGAAAGTTGGCAGCTGGTAGAATTTGGTAAAGGCAAGGAGACTCATCTTTCCCTAGCAGTGGTCCCCAACCTTCCTAATGCTGCAGTGTATTTTTACTGTTAAAAAGGGGTTGCGACCCACAGGTTGAGAACCAGTGCTAGAGCCTCCGGAAAGAGCTAGCCATACAGATACCTTATTTTAGCCAAGGGAAAACTATGTCATATTTCTAATCTACCTGCACAGTAAGAAAATTAATTTGTGTTATTTTAAGGCACTAAGTTTATGGAGTTTTTTTATAGCAATAATAGAAAACTAATATGCTACCTTTATTATGTAAATTATTGTCTTAATTATGCTTCTCCAAGTTATAAATTGGCAAGGATTTTCAAACATGGATTCTTAGTGATTTGAGATTTTGTACTGACTTTGTCACTCACTGGCTAGCGTGACCCTGGGCCTCAGTGCTGGGTATACACAATTGTGCTGTTTTCAGCTTCCATAACCCTTGGAGACAGAGGCATGGGAGAGGCAACTGACTGCTGTTGGAAAGCATAATCTCACTCATTATGCCTGAGGGAAGATTCTTTAAATGCCAAGCATAAGATAATATGATGATGGTAAGAAGATACAAAATGTAAGGTGGACAGAACTATGGAAGGGATCAATAAAAATTTATGTTATTTTTATATGTGAACAATTAAGTATATGAGATCATAGTGTCCTTAGGTAGGATAATGGAGGGAAATCTGAAGCTTTCTTGGTGATATTTTTAGATTTAGGTTCCATTGAAAATACTTTCTTTCCAATTTTATTTTCTTCAGTCTCTTAAACTCTCTATTCTCATCCAACAAACAGTAAATAGATAGTAGATAAACAAACATATCACACACACAGCTACACACACACACATTGTGCACAAACACATATGTACATACATTTAATGTAAGATCTAGAAACAATGCATGAAAATAATTTTTGTGATTCTCTGGGTCCCTAAGCTCCTATTCATAGTCTGCAAAGCACAATAAACTTTTGCGAATCTCCAATAGAAGCCATCATTGCATTCATAAAGACAAAGGATTTATTTCTTTTAACTATGGAATAATTTTTATTATGAGATGAATCATTCAGAATGTACCTCAGGCCATTCACAAAATTAGCCTGTTGTTGCTGGCTGCCAATATTACATTAACATCTCAACTACCTGGAGGGTACTTAGCAAACAACCACAGCTCTCTGAAAAATAGAGGAAAACAGAGAATAGACAGAAATGATCTCTAAACAGGTACTCTCGATCATATTGCTCAGGAGGGAAGCTCTCACAGGCTGCCACTAGGTTTCATTTTGATTTTCTGCTTGTAATATACAAATGAAGAAATCCTAGTTATCTTGACATACAACAAATCAATATTAAAAATTAGGAACGGTAAGAATATTACTAAATGGGCGTATAATGGTCGCTAAATGGACAAGCACACCAAGTTATTGCTGACAAGACAGAAGCTGAAGACAAAGCAAAATTGTAGGAGTGTGGAATTATTAGTATTAGGGCAAACATCATTTTGCATCTCAAAAGGCATTGAAGACAGTGATCCCCTATAAGCACTGATGTTCTAAAGTTAACCTTGAGTCATCAGGAAAAAGTTAAATTATATTCAGTTGCCTTTGTTATAGAAAGCAAGAAAATATAAACTGATTTTAGCAAGACCTTCACCTATGAAATTGACATTTAGCGTGTAACTTTATAATGGTCAAATCACTGCCAAAGGCACTTTGTAGACTCCATCTCAATGAATCAATGGTTAGAATAAAAAAGAATAAAATAGAGTCATAAAATAAATCACTCAGCGTCCTCTCTGTTGGCTGTAAGCTCCTTGTTCACTCTGAAGTTGGTGATAGATTGCTCAGGCTCCTCTCCCAAGTTTCCTGCTAGGCACTACTAATGGAGGCTAACTGTAGAGGTTGGGAGGTAGAGGAAGATGAAAACTGTTTTTGTTCTTGTTATTGGTGTTGCTGTTGTTTCCCTTGCTTTTGGTGGAGTTCCCAGCAGCCACAGATGACTAAGAGCAATGGACGTGGTTGTAGGCATCGGTGAGTTCCCAGGTGCCTGGAACATCCTCAGAGGGAATGTGGGTTCCTGCTCAGATGCCATTGATTCTCATAGTCTGAAGCAGTGGAGCTCCTAGAGCTCTAGCAGTTCAGCAGCAGGTATTGGCTTGTGGTCCTGAAGCAATAGCACATTTCTGGTCTCAGGTAACTAGTCCTCCTAAAATCCTTACCACCCCTGCTCCACCCCTTTCTTCTTTCTCCTAGAATTTCTAGCATGGTTATATTGTTTTTTTTTTTTTTCCAGACAGGACTCCAATGAATTTTTTAAAATAAAATAAAAATATGATTTTTTGTTAAAAAGGTAGATTGAATAAGTCTGGAATATTTCTCCATCCAGCAATGCCAGCCAAGCAAGGCATATTGTTTGGTCTCAGTGTGAGTACTTGCTGGGGATACTGTCAGCAAAAATTCTGTTTAGCAATTAAAACTACTTTGAAAGTTTTCTGAGGGCTATGATGCCCTGAGCGCAGACTCCAGTCATTTCATAGTGTGGCCTGGAGAAAAAAAAAAGAGAAAAAATAGGCAAAGCCATAGCTAAAATGACATGCCAGAATCCCTCAGGCTAGATGAGGGTAACAGAGTGGTAACAGAGTGGATTAATAGCATCTACCCATTAAGTCAGCATTCCACCACGGTCAACATCCATTCTCCAAGTGCAGCAACATACACGTTTCCAATGCCCAAGGTCAAATGGTGCAAGTGCATATGGGATACACCACAGACGTTTGTAATCACGGTTTTTGTTTCCTTTCTTTATGTTTTTTGCTTTAACAAATTCAGACTCGAAAGCACAAAAATACAAATACAATTTTACTTAAGAAGCCACTGTATTCATTTTTCCTAAATAGAGCTTTTTTCTTAGGGGTAAAAAACTCAACCTTTTGGGAAAGACAACCTTTTCTTATTAATGGGGCAAGGTGGGGCATTAATGCATTGAACTGATGCTTGTATAATTGCTTCCCTCTTCCTTGAGTTTCATCTTTCTGAGCAACTCAGTTCTTTGTTCCCAATTAAAATATTCCCTTAAAATGTTCCATTCTGAGAGGCTGAGTTTATTGAAATAAGTATACCAATATACTCTCGGACCTCCATATCCATGGATCTAACCATATGCAGAGTGAAAATGTTTAGAAAAAAGTAAAAAAATAGATACAAAAAACCCCAGGATAA